CCGCTTAGTGCAATGAGATTTCGATTAAATATGTGTCTATTGTGACTTATTGTGACCGATTGTTACTGTTTGTGACTGGCTAATTGTGACTTGTTATGACCAATTGTGACTTGAAATTATGAAAATTTTTTGGAAGTTGGGATGACTGCTGTGACCGATTGTGACTGTTTGTGACCAATTGTGACTAGCTAATTGTGACTCGTTGTGACCAACTGTGATCGATTGTGACTTGAAATTCTGGAAATTTTTTAGAAGGTGGGTGTGGGTGAATGGGGTGTAATTTCCAATTTTTAATTTTCTGAAAATTTTTAACTTGCCGGAGAGGCCGCCGGAGTGATCGCCGGAGCCGATGGCTGTCTCCGGTGGAGAGGTGGAGGGAAGGTGGTGTAGTGGAATGATAGGATAAGGTAGGTGATGTGGCATGAGTAGAAATAATTAATGTATATTATATTATATTTTAATATTTAAAAAAATTATTTATCATCTGATTTTTGAAATATTTTAATAAATTTGTTATTTATGAAATGTGAACTTTAAAACTAGGAATTATGTATTATTCCCTATATATTAATAGGCTCTTAGAGTTTGAAAATTATATGAAATAATTCATTATTCTTGCTAGTATAAGAAAAGAAACCCTAGTCGTCATTCTTGTTCTCTGTGGGATCACCATTGGAGGTTAGAGAATTAGACAGTTTGAATTGTAAATCGTGATCATTCAAGTTCTAGAATCAGCAAATGAGTTTGCAAAATTCATCAAAGGTATTATTCATATCACAGTTTCTATCTAAACACGATGCAGAATCTTGGTAGGTATTGAAATTTGTTTTATTTTCCGACATGCATTATTAAGTAGATTCCCAACAATTTGAATGTTCAATTATGGGGGTCAGGCCCAATCTAAGTTGCACCTTGGTCCATCTAAGATATCAAAGCTCAAGTTTAGCACAACAAAGTTATCCATTATCAAATAGGTTTGAAACATAAATGCCAACAAGGGCTCGGAGAAGTCGAGCTTTAGTGTATTCTATACTTCAGTCTTCAGCAGCACAAGATTTTCTTGAAATTATATCGATGCAACTGAAATATAAAAGACGTGAAAATATTTCAAGAGACAACACTAGAAAATAGCATTGAGTATATATAACAAAATAAACGACATATAATTTTTTTTCTTAAGCACTTGCTATCATTTTTTCAAATTTTCCAATTCCAAACAAACGAAAACAACAAAAATATATATATTTAGGGCACGTTTGTTATGACTTTTATTTCTTGTAAAAATTGTTCTTACAAAAGTTATTTTAGATTAGATTAATCTAAAAGCTTTTCTAATATAACTCTGGCTTTGTTTGAAGTATCAGTGAAGCATTTAGATGTGTCTGCATGGAAGCTTGGGCTCAGAACTAGCCCCTCTTTGAGCAATATCAAAATTTTCGTTCTCATTCTTCTATTCATTTTCAATTACACATTCTTCAATAAAATAATATTTTTCATTACATCTTCAACCACACATTTTCCATCAATCTATTATTCCAAAATACATTCTCTCAAAATAACTTGACTCAAACAAATCTGGCTGAATGATGAGATTTACTTATAGATTTACTTATATTATTTACCATTAATGGGATACTCGACCATTAATGGGATACTGTTGATCCAATCAAAGTACTGAATAGTGATGGCGATAACTGTTAATTTTGATTCTTTCAGAATATTTTGCTGAAATTTACTGCAATAGTTACTGCTACTGTACCTACTCGAAGGTACAGTTTCTTCTTTCCCATCATCATCATCAGTACTCTCTCTGCATTCTTTTAAAGATGGAGCATAATATCTGAAATTAGATTCTTAAAATCACTTTTTTATAAAATAAGTAAATATCTATTTTTGAAGAACTTTGACATCAATTGCAATCAATCCCAAGAAAAGAAAAGTGAAAGTACTTGCTGATTACTTCCTGCACATCATCAATGGCTATGATAAAAATTAAACAAAATAAATTCCAGATAAAATAATTTCAATTTTCATGTAGCCAACAGAAGAAATAGGTAAACAAGACTACCCATATTTGGCCACATTTTGGCTGCTGCTGCATTTCACCATGCTAGGCTGCTAGCCCGCCCGAGATATCGATCAACCAAAAAAGTATCGAACTCGAATGTCAAAACCATAGACGTGACAAATATGAGACTTGAAAAGAACGAAAAAGTACAACTAGAAAAACCGTATCTTTCTAGTTTTATATTTTGAGAGGCATAGTTCAGCAAACGAGACCCTTCTGCAATTTTCAGAAAGCCACTTGGAGTGCATGTAACTAGGTTTCCTCCATGGAGGAATATGAAGACCTCTTTCTGTAAGGGACTGTTTGGCAGCAGAACAAACCAAAGAAATTAACTTTTCCAGCTTTTTGTCAATCCCAACAAATATCGAAGGAAGAGAATTTATAAGTTCTTCATAACTTGATGTTGGCCTTGCTAATTCGAACTGTGACCTAAAATCTATATCAACAATTAATCGAACAGGTTGGCCTCCATTTATGTTGTCTTTCCTCAACATCACATCAACATATTCATAATCATCTGTAAATTCAAACACTGCATAAACAAAGCCACAATGTCAGAACCATGTCTACACAATCTTCATAAACAAGTTTCGGTTCTCTTATACTATGGGCTCGTTTGGCAGAATGTTAGAAAAATCGAAAGCTGCCTCTGAATCTAACAAATTATTTTGGAACATGTTTGAATAATTTTCTAAAAGTGTTCTATCTAAATATCCAAAGATAACTTTCTCAGAAACTCATCTACGAGAAATAGAACCAAAAGCGTTCACAAAAGGGCCTATATCTAACCATCTCTTTTGAAAGTGTAAACTTTAAAACAAACCTGAAGGGCCTCTAAAAGGAGTGATCCAAGAAGTTGTACAAAACCGAGCTTCATAATGATCCATTTCCAATCTGAAAGCAATCCATTTCTTCAACTGGTTGACTTTCTCCATGGATTTCATATCTTTCAGATACATCAAAATTTTCCCATATACCTCTCTCTCAGCATCAGTGGCATCTCCCAAGATTTCCTAAAAAAAACACAGAAATCAATAAAGAGAAGATTCAAGAACTGATGAATGAGGAAAATTACCTGTAAGGAGAAATAAGTTCGACTATGATCAATCTGAAGAGGTTCTGTAGAAGGAAAATAACAAGAATTTGCAACTTTAGGATCTAAATCAACATAACCTTCAAACATCTGAGAAAAAATTTCTTCTGAGAAACTCATATTTCTTGCTTGTGTGCACTGTTTTTCTTCTTCGGTTAAGACTCACTGCCACATATTATAAAGGCAGTATAACTGTTGAGAAGAGAAAGTTAATTATTAGAAGTCACATCAGATCAGCGTGTAATCAATTTTTTTATTTTTATTTTTTCTACTTTTGGTACACACCAAGATCGATTCATTGAGTTTTTTTGGAGGTAGATTTTGGTGGTTTGATATGAGAGTAGAATAGAATACACTGGGCTCTAGGTTATTCATTATTTTCTGTCAATACTTCTCCCCAAATGCAGACACGCTTTAAAGGTGGTAAGTTATGAGGGACTACAAGTACATTCTGAATCACAAACTCTATTTGCCACCTTGTAGGGGAGAGAGGTGTCAACCGTGTCGTGTAAAATTGTCGTGTCATTATTTAACAAAAATAATATTTTGAATATTAAATTTTTGAAGAACGTATTTTTAAAAAGTAGAAAAAAATTTTGATTTACCGTTTACATATATAGCAGTTGTTTGATTCCTATTATTTTCAAAATATATTTTCCTTTCTCTTATTTTTAATAATTCATTCTCCACCAATCTATTATTCCAAATGCATTCTTAAGAAAAAATGGGGCTCAACACAACAATATTTTATTGAGTAAGAGTGTGTTTGAGACACATTCTTTTGAAAGAAAGTATTATTGAATAATAGATTGATGGAGAATGTGTGGTTAAAAATGAAGTAAAAGTTATTGATGTGATGAAAAATATTATTTTATTGAAAAATGTGTGGTTGAAAATGAGTAGAAGAATGAGAATGAAAAAAATAATGTGTACCAAACAGAGCCTAAATGCGTGATTGAAAATGAGTATATAAAAAAAAGGAATTTAAAAAAAAAAAAAAAAACCATCAAAACAAGAGTAACTTTTCTTTAATAAATGGTTGTATTTAGCCATTGTTTAGTGTAGATTAAAATCAGATTTTTAGTAAATTTATTTAGAAATTAATGAAATGTGTAATTGAAAAGTTGTAAAATTCATAAAATATGTTATTGAAATTAATTGTTAATTTTGATTTAAATTAAAAGTTAGATTTTAATTGTTACCAAACGGACTTTACATTTTTAAAATATAGGTCAACCCACGTGATTATTATACAGAAATTTTGAGGGAGTATTTGATGGATATTATTGAGAAAATAATGTATTTTAGATAGTGATATAATATGAAATATGTGGTTAAAAAGTAAGAAAAAATTATTGATATAATGAAAAATATTATTTTATTGCAAAATGTGTGGTTGAAAATGAATTTTGAAAGAATATATTTTGAGAGAACGTGTATCAAACAAGAGCTGATTCTAAGAACATGTGAGGTCAATCTACACTTTTTTTTTTTTGTGCTTCTAACACTTCTCACATATATAGATTTGTAGTTGTGTCATTCTTAGTGGTCGTGAGATAGACACTCAAAATAAAATAATTGTTCTAGTAAGTATTATATATATCTAACTTAACAATTTAAAAATTGAATAATTAGTATTTGACAAGTCAATTTAGCCCATGTTTGGTAATAATTAAAATTTCAATTTTAATCTAAGTTAAAGTTAACAATTAATTTTAATCACGTATTTTATGGATCTCACAACTTTTCAACTGTATATTTAATCAATTTTTATCAAAATTTACTAAAAATATAATTTTAATCCCCTGGCCCCATTGCTTTCCTTTTCTGTCTGTCAAGACTTCTCCCGTGTAAATACAAGGTTTAAGGGGATAAGAATACGCAGACTTCTCCCATATAAAGACAAGGTTTGAGGGGATAAGATCATTAGAATATGAGACCCCATCTCTGCATATGGCTGGCTTTTATTTTTCTTAAATAAATGTCACTTCTAAATCTATATAAAAAAAATTAAAAATTCTCGAGTCAACCCTAAACAATGCTTGCTATTTGCTTTGCCAAAAAAGTTTCACAGTGTCCACGTTAGATTACATTGAAAATAATTGTTTTTTAAACATTAAAACTATTCTGCTCGTGAAAATGAATTATTACAACAATCCATTAATACAGTGGAGATGCTTTGAGGGAGTACAAGTAAATCCTTAGTACGTAGTAGATGACCACTACATGCCACTTTGATTAGAGTGCATTGTAGAGGTGTAGAACATGTAGTGAGATCAAAGCGACTCAATTTTGATCATCTAGTTGAGTTAGTCAAATTGTGCTAAATTGATACAATTTGATCTTGAATTGTATCGATTTAAAAGAATTTGAAGGCATAAATTGAGTTTTAACAAATCAACGCAACTTGATTTTAAAGTGGTCAGTGAAAAACCTATTCTTGATCCATGAAAGTCTTCTCGACTATTATTCGAGCCCTATGGTCCAATTAGTCACGTCAGGGATATGAGCTTTTACTTCTTACTTTTTTCGTTTTGATTTTTTAAATATGCGTCAATCATGAATGCCATCGATCTTTGTAATCTGATCATACAAAACGTGGAGGTCATCTGTGTTGGACTCTTATTGTCACAGTGTCTTATATAATTTCTTTTATATTTTCTAAGATAATTCATCCACTCTTAGTCGAAGAACAATAATCGTGAAAAAAGTCGTAAGGATTTAGAAGTCCATATAATTTTTTTTCCCCTGCTATTTCGTTCTGAAGTTTATCCCCAAAATTGTGAAAAAATAAAACATCATTGCACCATCTTGAAAACGTCAGCCAACACATGATGGAAGGGGGTTCTTGATCTCATTTTTTCACATCTCCACTTTGGGCGAGTTGACAAGAGGATCAGCACAATTCGAGCACTGTTTCTTCGTCACTCTATAGCTTGTGACGGCGATACATTAGATATTCCCTTGAAGACTTACCAAGATTGAACACTTAGGAAGAAAATTTATATATGAGCTTGTTTGTGAGAGATTTTTGGGGGAAGAATTGATTTTGAATAGTGATATGATGAGAAATGTGTGGTTGAAAAAAAAGAAAAAATTATTGATGTGATGGAAAATATTATTTTATTGAAGAATGTGTGGTTGAAAATGAGAATTGATTTACTGTAGAAAAATTTAATTCCTCCCAAACAGGGCCTAAGTAAGT